GGGCAATGCTGGAAGAAGATGGCATAGAACACATCATAAGATGCAAAAGTGAATGAATCTCTGATGCTGTGGGTGACATTATGTCCTGTAATGGTTTGGTCCAAATAGGTATAAGGACACTGGCATTTGAGTTGCTTGCAGTGTTTAAACTCTGCCTTTCTTTCCTTATTGTTTGAGCTGTTGTTGTTGCTACTGTTTAAGGGTCACAGGGAGAATCGTCTGTACTCAATCATAGGTTTATCACACATGCCTTCATACAATGCTTGTGAAAATACAGTATCATTATTCAGAACAGGCTTCAGCATTTGAGTGATTTCAACTGCAAGTTGTAGGGGAGAATAAGTGGCATTCTGTCATCTTCTCCTGGGCACCAGTCCGTTTTTGTTAATTTTTTTCCACATCCTTCTGCAGTTAATTGCCATTTCAGAAAGTTATGCGTTTTTGTTCAACAAGACTAAACAGATACAGGTGCATTATAGGATTTGGCTTTAGACTATAGATTTTGTTATGTGTTTTAAGTGGAAGTTGGAAGCAGATAAATATATATAGCAGTCTGTTGATATTCATTATGAAGTGGTACTTGTAGACCATTATGTTGTTGCACAAAAGCATCAAGAAAGTGAAGATGCTGTGTGGACTGCTTTAGGCTCAGGTGATGGGACAATTACTACAATAGTAGAAGAGCTTTTGACATCATTCCTGCTCAAAAGTTTAGGTGATAAATAGGTTATCACCAAATATCAGGTAAAGGAGAAGCATTTGGGAGCAAGAGCTGAAAAAGTGCTGTATCAAGTTCGCTGTGAGTATACTGCAAATATCCATGACACTTCTGAAAAATTTGTGTTTAACTAAAAAAGCAGGAGAGTTTGGCGGCCATATGTGATATACTCCATCTGTAATTATATCATTCTTGGCTTGTTTGCAGTGAATGTTAGTGTGAAGAACCTCATCATCCATGGCAGCAAGCACTATATTTTTGGGAGAACGTCAATGGATTGTAGTTTCAATGGCAACCATAAGTAACTTGGACTACTCACGGCATATGGTTTGCAACTGAGGTCCATAGAGCTGGATGCTCAAAAAAGACAGTGCTGATGCCTCAGCTGCTAGTTTCTGCTCAAAAAAGACAGTGCTGATGCCTCAGAGGAAGTGGCAGCAGCTACAGCTGCTAGTTTTATGTGATAAAAGCCTTCTTCTCCAGAATCATTCTGCATTCTACACAGGGCAAGCAGGTCAACAAGAGTTTTATGAATGGATAATGTCATTAATGTAACTGTCACTCTTAGTACTTTCTCAATGTTGTTGTTGTTTAGTGGTTAAGTTGTGTCCGACTCTTCGTGACCCCATGGACCAGAGCAGGCCAGGCCCTCCTGTCTTCCACGGCCTCCCGGAGTTGGGTCAAGTTCATGTTGGTAGCTTCAATGAGACTGTCCATCCATCTCATCCTCTGTCATCCCCTTCTCCTCTTCCTTCACACTTTCCCAACATCAGGGTCTTTTCCAGGGAGTCTTCTCATGAGATGGCCAAAGTATTGGAGCCTCAGCTTCAAGATCTATCCTTCCAGTGAGCACTCAAGGTTGATTTCCTTCAGAATGGGTAGGTTTGTTCTCTTTGCAGTCCAGGGGACTTTCAAGAGTTTCCCCCAGCACCACAATTCAAAAGCACAAATTCTTCGGTGGTCAGCCTTCTTTATGGTCCAGCTCTCACTTCCATACATCGCTACTGGAAAAACCATAGCTTTGACTATGTGGACCTTTGTCGGCAAGGTGATGTCTCTGCTTTTTAAGATGCTGTCTAGGTTTTTCCATAATAATCGCTTTCCTCCCAAGAAGCAGGCGTCTTTTAATTTCGGGGCTGCTGTCACCATCTGCAGTGATCATGGAGCACAAGAAAGCAAAATCTGTCACTGAGTCCATATCTTTCCCTTCTATTTGCCAGGAGGTGATGGGATCAGTGGCCATGATCTTCATTTTTTTGATGTTGAGATTCAGACCATTTTTTGTGCTCTCCCTTTTCACCTCATTAAGAGGTTCTTTAATTCCTCCTCACTTTTCTGCCATCAGAGTGGTATCATCTGCATATCTGAGGTTGTTGATATTTCTTCTGGCAATCTTGATTCCGGCTTGGGATTCATCCAGTCCTGCCTTTCACATGATGTATTCTGCATATGTTAAATAAGCAGGGAGACAATATACAGCCTTGTCATACTCCTTTCCCAATTTTGAATCAATCAGTTGTTCCATATCCAGTTCTAACTGTAGCTTCTTATCCTACATATAGATTTCTCAGGAGATAGATAAGGTGGTCAGGCACTTCCATTTCTTTAAGGACTTGCCATAGTTTGCTGTGGTTCCACACAGTCAAAAGCTTTTGCGTAGTCAATGAAGCAGAAGTAGATGTTTTTCTGGAACTCTCTGGCTTTCTTCATAATCCAGCAAATGTTAGCAATTTGGTCTCTAGTTCCTCTGCCCCTTCGAAATCCAGCTTGTACTTCTCTGAGTTCTCGGTCCACATACTGCTGAAGCATACCTTGGAGGATTTTGAGCATAGTCTTGCTAGCGTGTGAAATGAGTGCAATTTTACAGTAGTTGGAGCATTCTTTGACACTGCCCTTCTTTGGGATTGGGATGTAGACTGATCTTTTCGAATCCTCCGGCCACTGCTGTGTTTTTCAAACTTGCTGGCATATTGAGGGTAACACCTTAACAGTGTCATCTTTTAAGATTTTAAATAGTTCAACTGGAATGCCATCACTCCACTGGCATTGTTGTTAGCCATGCTTTCTAAGGCCCACTTGACTTCGCTCTCCAGTATGTCTGGCTCAAGGAAAGCAACCCCACTATCTGGGTTTTCGAGGACATCCAGATCTTTCTGGTATAATTCCTCTGTGTATTCTTGCCACCTCTTCTTGATGTCTTCTGCTTCTGTAAGGTCCCTACTATTTTTTTTCTTTTTTACTGTATGTCCATCTTTGCACAAAAGGTTCCTTTAATATCTCCAATTTTACTGAACAGATCTCTGGTTTTCCCCTATTATTTTCCTCTATATCTTTGCACTGTTAATTTAAGAAGGCCTGTCTTTTCTCTCCTTGCTATCCTTTGGAAGTCAGCATTCATTTTTTTAAAAACTTTCCCTCTCTCCCTTGCATTTTACTTCCCTTCTCTGCTATTTGTAAGGCCTCGTTGGACAGCCACTTTGCTTACATCCATAGTTCTTCAGGCACTCTGTCCAACAAATCTAGTTCCTTCAACCTGTTCTTCACTTCCACTGTGCATTCATAAGGGACTTGGTTTAGATTATACCTGACTAGCCCAGTGGTTTTTCCTACTTTTTTCAGTTTAAACTTGAGTTTTGCTATAAGAAGCTGATGATCAGAGCCACAATCAGCTCCAGGTCTTGTTTTTGCTGACTGTATAGAGCTTCTCCATCTTTGGCTGCAGAGAATATAATCAATCTGACTTTGGTACTGCCCATCTGGTGATGTCCATGTGTAGAGTTGCCTCTTGTGTTGTTGGAAAAGAGTTTTTGTGATGACCAATTTGTTCCCGTGACAAAATTCTATTAGCCTTTGCCCTGCTTTGTTCTGAATTTCAAGGCCAAACTTACTTGTTGTTCCTTTTATATCTTGACTCCCTACTTTAGCATTCCAATCCCCTATGATGAGAAAAACATCTTTCTTTGGTGTCAGTTCTAGAAAGTGCTGTAAGTCTTCATAGAATTGGTCAATTTCAGCCTCTTTAGCATTGGTGGTTGGTGCCTAAACTTGGATTACTGTGATGTTGAAAGGTCTGCCTTGGATTCGTATTGAAATCATTCTATCATTTTTGAGATTGTATCCCAGTACAGCTTTTTCCCACTCTTTTGTTGACTATGAGGGCTACTCCATTCCTTCTATGGGATTCTTGCCCACAATAGCAGATATGATAATAGTCTGAATTGAATTCACCCATTCCTGTCCATTTTAGTTCACTGACGCCCAGGATGTGAATGTTTATTCTTGCCATCTCCTGTTTGACCACATCCAGCTTACCAAGGTTCATAGATCTTACATTCAAGGTTCCTATGCAGTATTTTTCTTTGCAGCACTGGACTTTCCTTTCACTTCCATGCACATCCACAGCTGAGCGTCCTTTCGGCTTTGGCCCAGCCACTTCATTAGCTCTGGAGCTACTTTTCCTTATCTTCCGCTCTTCCTCAGTAGCATGTTGGACACCTTCTGACCTAAGGGGCTCATCTTCCAGCATCATATCTTTTAGTCTTTTGTTTCTGTCCATGGCGTTTCTTGGCAAAGATACTGGAGTGGCTTGCCAGTTCCTGCTTCACGTGGATCACGTTTAGTCAGACCCCTCTACTATGACCTGTCCGTCCTGGGTGTCCCTGCACGGCATAGCCCATAGCTTCTCTGAATTACTCAAGCCCCTTTGTCACGACAAGGCAGCAATCCGTGAAGGATTTTCAATGTAACTGCTCCCTTATCTCCTGCTCCAATGTAACTGAAATTCTGGTTAACACTTCAGGCATCAGACTGTGTGGGTTATGCTTCACTTATCATGGTACCTAGAAAGGCTGAATATTTTTTTTTTCAGATGAACATGACCAAATCATTAGCAGAACAGGGCCTGCAAAAACATGTGGATCTTACTTTACATGCTTAATGCTGAAGTACATTGAAGTTTCTCAAGCACCCTTATTTATTATGTACATCTTGCTTATTTCAAAGGGTCAAAACAGACCTCTGTTAAGTAAATAGGCACTGGTGACTTGAAATAAACAGGGACAGCAAACAAAAGCAAAGAGATTCTTTCCAAGGGCTATTGTGAAGGGTGAACAGGCAAAAAGAATGTACACTGCTACATATACCTGCTATACACACACACACAAACACACAGAGAGAGAGAGAGAGAGAGAGATCCACAACCATTCTTGCTCATTGTATTTCTGGCACAAATAGTTATAAAAAGATCTTATGACAAAAGAATATATACAGCAGAAACTTTCACCACTTTCTAAAACTGAGAATGGAAAAAGTAGAAGAGCTTTATAAGCTTTAAAGCATCCAAGAAGTAACACGGTGGTATCAGTATATAATGAACATTTATCTTTTGCATCAACAGAGAAACTATGGTAAAGGTACTTTATGGAGAATTATCAAATCTATATCAGTGGGGAGGGGAGCAACCTTTCAGCTGAAATGGGAAAAAGAATAAAAAGAGTTATAGAGAAGCAACTGACTCAGCTAAAAAGGTAGTGCTCTAGAGCAGAAGTCCCCAACCCCCGATCCGCGCCGGTGCTGCTTTATCTTTTGCATCAACAGAGAAACTATGGTAAAGGTACTTTATGGAGAATTATCAAATCTATATCAGTGGGGAGGGGAGCAACCTTTCAGCTGAAATGGGAAAAAGAATAAAAAGAGTTATAGAGAAGCAACTGACTCAGCTAAAAAGGTAGTGCTCTAGAGCAGAAGTCCCTAACCCCCGATCCGCGCCGGTGCTGGTCCGTGGCCTGAGCCGGACCAGGCCACGGGGACAGACCTCTCCCCGCATGCAGCTGATTTGTGCATGCGCACACTCTCAAGCGTGCCTGTGCAATTACTGTTCGCACATGTGCACAAGCGCCCCCTGCTTGAGTGCTGCGCTGCCGTATGTGCATATGCATGAGTAAGCGCACTTCTGCACAAGCGCCGTGTCACCGTTTGTGCACGTGTGCATGCACTTGGTCATGCAAGAGAGCGCACACTCGTTCACGCCTGCACATAAGATCAGGGGTACCCTGCCTTCCCCAGCCAGTCCGCGGGGTGAAAAAGGTTTGGGGCCCTTGCTCTAGAACAGAGCTTGAAGCCCCCTTGGCCATGGAAACTCACCTGGGGGAGTGGAACTGGTAAAACCTCAAAATCATATTAGGATTGCTATAAGTCAGTTCCAACTCAAAGATGTAGGACATATAGAGATACTATTGATACATTACATAGAAACCTATGTCGACTTTTTTAAAGCAAAAAGAATTGTCTTGTGGAACATTAACGTCTAAGAAATTTTATTTGGTATATGTTTGGGTGAACTTCATCCCAGTTCTTCAGATGGATATCTAAATAAGAAACGTGCCAGTTGTCAAGCTGATCCAAGACTTTTTGTTCTTTTTGTTGACATATATTGGCTGAAATCCTATTGCTTAACAAAAGTAGGCCCACCGAATCAGTGAGGATTTGGAGGAGTCAGCTCCCCATAAGTTCCACTTATTCAATGGGACTACTCCTGTTGTGACTTAGTACACTAAGCAACAGGGTTTCAGCCATTACGTTAAAACTTTAGCAACCACACCGGTCATAAATAAGTAAATCAGCACACAATTCTGAAGTTATATGGAAATAAAAGAAGTCAGAAATATAAAAAGGACATACACATAAAAGTCAGTTCAGACACTATGACCATGGCTTAATTAATTGGAATTTATTAACATGAATGGGGCTTGCGCGTTCACTATGGTACTCCTGAGCTTACACTTGCTTCTTTAAATCACAAGTTCTAATTACATCCAAAACATGTATCTGGGGCTTAATGTTGGTTTAGTAACAAATATCTGAAATGATTATTTCTGGTTTAAGTGTTGGTCAGTAAACTGGAAAAAGACCACAGTTCTGATTTTCATGGAGCATGTTATTTAAAGAAAATACCAGCAAGGTATGAAAGCCAATATTTGAGGTCAAGAAAGTACAAGAAAAGGGTGTCTGAGCCCACAATTCCACTACCATTTAATCAGTTTATTATGGCAGTATAATTAATTCAGTTAACTCAACATTTTATAATATTATTCTACATTGGGGACACTACATTGAATAGTATAATTTAATTCACTTTATTCATGTATGTAAATGTAATGTATCTAATTTACTTTGGAACTGCAAAAACTAGCTTGATTATACATGAATACAAAATACTGTATGTTACTATACAATATTATACATCTCTTTGTAAAGGAGTACATAACTCACTTTCTAAGGAGGAGTAGATAAAATTAGTTCTAGTGCAATTTTTATAGTCTGTGTTGGCCATTGGAAGTTTTGGGAACCATATTGGTACTGTACCATCATCTATCACTGGCTTTAAATTCTATCTGAGGACACAGGACTTGTTTCTTTTACAACATACAAATTTTATCCTCTATGGATGAAGCCACCACCATATATAACTGAATTAATGATGACATCTGATATTTTGCACATCTGGTATGTTGACAATCTATTCCATTTCAAGAAGTGGGAGAGCATTTTTATAATATAGGTAGTGAAGATGCTTGAAAAAATATAACTAAAACTCATCCACTGAGTTATGTTTTCAAGGATTGCCATGAATTTCTCTATGCCGAAGTTCTTTAATATGCTTTCAAAAATGTATTTTAATGCTACTAAATATTTCCCTGAAATATAAGATATGAAAGATATAAATAATAACAGATTTCAAGAACTGAATTATGACCTTTTTTTAGCATAAGAGTGCAGTGAGTAAAGGACCACAAGAATATAAATACAGATTAATTACCACTTTGATGCTCCATATGGCACTGCCAGGTAGCTGTCTGGATTTAAATGTTTCCCGACCTTCTGAAATGTCTGGGGACCAGGAAGGTGGGCTCAATGTATTATGGCTACTCCAAGCCCCCTAGGATATGTCAGGTGAGAAAACAGATGTATAAAACTCAGCCAAATAAAATAAAAACAAGCAATGCAAATAAAAAGTTCCAAAGCAAAGCTCATGCAGGCATGAATACTGTACTCAGTGTAACATGTGCATGGATTTACTGGAGGAAATTTCAACATAGCATTCACATTTATATGGTTTCAGTAAATTATAAAAGATAAGCAATACTAGAAAATAAATGATTCCTTGCCACAATCAACAAAGTATTTCCTAACTCAGTTATAACTTTGATTTCGACAGTATACCAAGATGCACAACTTTTGGGAATTAAATGCCTGTTTTTACACTGAGATCCTTTCTATATTTAGGTCTGCATCTTGGGAGGAAAAACAGATTTAGATTATGCATATGACTCAAAACAGAAGATAAATGTGAAAAGTTAAGAAGCACAGCAGACATAATTAAAATAAAATAGAACGTATATGTAAATGAAACATAAATGAAGGGTTAAAAAAACCAAGAGAAAAAGTCATCCCACCTAAGCATTGTTTTGTTTTTTACAAAAATGTATATATTGGAAGTCTTATTATTTCAAAACACATGGCTTTTCCCCCTATTTTTTTATAATTTTGTCAGGCAACAATTACTGCTGTCTTATAAGCGCCCAGTATAGCATACTTCTTAGAGTTCAGAACTATGATGTTTCTGTATATATCCATAGTGCTGGCTTGGTTTATGTTTTCTACACTTTCACATATTTTTGTAATAGAAATACAGTCCCCAGATAGAAATGAAGATCAAGCTCAGTGATGTCATTAGAAAGAACTCAGAGCTACATTTTCCTCCAGACTATTCCCATCCATGAAAATCATCCATGCTAGCAATACTTAACATAGCAACTGCAACGTACAGTTATTTCCTAGAAGAGTTAGCAAAATACCAGCAACAAAAACAAACAAAACAAAACAAAACAAAAACACCATGCAGGAACAGGATCAAATACTTTGTATAAATGGAAAATTAAATTTACAGATTTGTTAAATGTATAATTGGGACTGGGGGGTTTTAAGTATTATTAGGATAACAATAATATTACCAAACATACAAAAAAATTGAGCCAATCTAGCAATAATTAGCACTATAACACCAAAAAGCTAATATCATAATTAATTTAACTTATATTAATTATACCCTTAATACAATACTGTATTAATTCCTTTATTTATACTGGCAGCGAGGTGTATTTGATTTAAATTTTTAAAAATGGGTTTTCGGGTTATTTAAATTTTAAAAAATGACTTTTAAAAAATTAAAATTGTGATTTAAATTAGATTTTTATCCACCCTGATTGGCAGTGAGCTAGTCACTGAAGACCTGCAGTGAGAAATGGGCACAAAATAAGTGTACAGTATTAAGAGATCCGCCTCCTCTTTGAGATCGCTTCCTATAGGACCAGTTCAAACATAGATAGTATCAAAGCACAGTTTGGAAAAAAAAGAATACAGTTTATCCGCTTAAGTAAGTTATGTCTTGTCAATAACTTGAAAATAAGAAAGCAGCTGGCACATATGACAAAATGTTTGATTACAAGACTTAGGACTTCTCTACAAGGCTTGGCTACAGCAGACTGGACTGGATAAAATAGGACTGGACTGTCAGAATTGATAGGAAATCCAATATTTTATTTGGTGCAATCCTCACATCCAAATGAGATATGGACCTCAAATTAGCCTATTTGGTCTGCAGCAGCCTTTGCCAATATTGTGAGTCAGTCAAACCGGGCAGGCTCTCAACCTTGAAAAGCAGAGCAAACAAAAGCTTCTTATTCTTAACTATATTAAGTCAACAATATAAAACGAGAGGTAGATAATATAAATGCAAGTTGAGGATTCAGAAAAAAACGCAGAGAAATGTTTCATTTTTAAAGAATCACTCCAGTGTATATGAGAAATACACCCAGCATCAGCTGCACAAAAGGCTTCTCATAAACATGTTTTTTTAAAACGGGAAACACCAAAGTTTGTGAACACCAAAGACTTAAATTCCCTAAACAAGTACCTAATAAAAACTCTTCCTGCCCCCAAATCCTCTCTGCCAGATAAAAAGCACACAAAATAAATATTTCTGGCACAAAATTCATGAAATAAACATCAGTCAAGGATATCTAATTTCAGAATTTCAGCTGAAAATTTTAAGCTTAATCAATTTTCAACAAAATAATTTATTTGAAGAAAACTGCATTCAAAAGTATAAGAGAGCTTAGTATGTTTGATTTGCCAAGTTCATACATATAACAGAATCAGTTTTAAGGGTTTGTGCACAACTAGTTTCTGTCTTCTAATAAAGTGCAAACCTGATAAATTCCCAACCCTCTTCCATCAAAGGAATGAACAAAAAAAATTGCATTTAGGCATACTGAATTTTTTTAAATGATATCAATAATTCTGACAGTTGGATGACACATAATAGTTTTTAGCCATTAAAATTTCAGTTAAAATGCTATATACTGTTTCTTCAAGTGAGCTTTCATTTCTCAAAGTCAAAACGGCTTACGTGCCTTAAAAAAAAAACTTAACTTTTTTTGACATTATTCCACTTGTTCCCTATTCAGCAATAACATTAAGGGATTTATACTCTGTACATACTGAAATCACCATCTTACCTCAGATATTAATTATGTATCAACAACAAAGAAATGTAGTATGATGCAGCAATCCAATGTACAATTAATAAAGAGAAAATGTTGGATTGATCAACAACATGCAACATTTAAATATCAATTTTAAATGCCTTTCGAGAGTTGGCCAGAGGAATGTAACACAAGTCTGCCCACTGAATTGCTCTTAAATTAAGTGGTTACAAAAAGAAAGTCATAATTAGTATTCAAACACATTTCTACTAATTTCCTCAGAGTGAAACTGTCATATCCAAGACCTGCCTTTCTTTCCTTTGATGAATCTGCTGCAGTTTTCCAGATATGGGTAACTGCAATTTTTGCTCCATCATCCAAAATTTCACTGGGCAAGCAATTCTACCTGGTTAGCAGGCTACCTTCTACACCTCCCTTATAAACACTGGCACTGCAGATGATGGGGCACCCCTGGTGAGATAACAGATGCCATTGCAAAAAGGGGAAATTATTTGCGCATTATTTCTCTTACATGTTTGGACCTTCCCCAACACTATTTTGGGCGCTGAATTTAATGGGAGATCTTTAAATAGAACATTGATCTTTAGATACATAGTTTGCAGAGAAGGCAAATTCTTTTCCAATTCAAACAAAACAGGCTGCTATATAAACAGATGTTCATGTATGAAATAAATTTTATGCTATCTACAATCTGCATTCTGAAAAGATGCAATTTTATACTTTCAGTAGTTAGACATTATAGGCAAGTACTGCTTTATCTGGAAACTATAAACTGATATTAAAATAGTGAGGCATCAAGGTAACCTGATGCTTTGACCATGCATCTCTAAGTGAGCAAATATTTTCCATTCTTGGTGTTTTGACATGAATATAAATGAATTTTAAAAAAAACTCTTCTATAGCATTGTAATTAAAATGTTTCACTTCAAGAAGTTTTCCCCAAACAATAACAAAACTGGCTGTAGAATGCATATAGACCCCAGTCTTGCTATACATTTCTGAAGCATGAAAGTGGTTCTATTTATGTTCCATATATGTTCACATTTTGTACTGCAAGGCTGCCTACCCATTTATATAAAACCTCACCATGATTTTTGAGAAAGAAAAAAAGCTATTTATAATTTTAATAAAAGTCAGTGAAGCTTATAAACATACACAAATACAAATATAAACCTATATTTAGTTCGATTTTAGAAACTGTAAACAGTAGAGCAAATTTTGATAATCATATATTAAGTAGTAAGCGCTACATGAACATGAAATAAGTTGAAGAAAATCAAAAGAATGGTTTTGTATTATATTGAGGAAATCTGGGGAGGGCAGGAATCTAACAAATTAAACACAAACTTTCATGGAATAATCAATTTGGAATTTTAGAAATATTTTCTTCTAAAGAGTTATTGCTTTTTTTTTAAGTGACTTCTCTGTTCCCCAGAAGAACATCAAGTTAAGAGGAAGACCACCTTCCACAAATTAAAATAAATAAATAAATAAACTTTTTGGCAGAAAAAAACTAATTAGATTGAAAAACATTTTTTTCCTGGTTTGGGGGAACCTTGGTGGGATTGCTTCAAGGCCTTGGGTCCTCAAAAAATCCCTTACTGGCTATATTTTGGCCACCACTAATCTAGAGGGACGTGGTGGCACTGCGGGCTAAACCATAGAAGCCTGTGCTGCACGGTCAGAAGACCAGCAGTTGTAAGATCGAATCCACGCGACAGAGTGAGCTCCTGTCACTTTGTCCCAGCTCCCGCCAACCTAGCGGTTCGAAAGCATGCAAATGCAAGTAGATAAATAGGGACCACCTTGGTGGGAAGGTAACAGCATTCCGTGTCTAAGTCGCACTGGCCAAGTGACCACGGAAGATTATCTTCGGACAAAACGCTGGCTCTATGGCTTGGAAATGGGGATGAGCACCGCCCCCTAGAGTCGAACACGACTGGACAAAAATTGTCAAGGGGAACCTTTACCTTTTTAATCTATTTTACTGACTCTCCTGAATGCTCAGCTATGTTATAATACTTTTAAAGAGTGAGAAATGGGAAAGACTGGTTGGATGACAGTAAAATGCTGAGGGTGATGAACTGACTTGGAAAATGCCAAATCCTGATACCTCAGCAACAGGCCCAGTTCAGTTTAGGGGATAACCAGGGCTTGTTCAGTAAGACTTTCTCAGCGACTCATACTTCATAACAGGATTATACATACTTTTTCTTCTTTTTTAAATCATTAAGTTTTATGTTACTGTCTTCCTCGTGGCGCAGTGGCTAAACCACTGTACTGCAGCTAAAACTGTGCTCACGACCTGGGGTTCAAATCCCAGGTAGCCGGCTCAAGGTTGACTCAGCCTTCTATCCTTCCGAGGTTGGTAAAATGAGTACCCAGCTCACTGGGGGGGCAATGTGTAGCCTGCATAATTAAATTGTAAACCGCCCAGAGAGTGCTTGAAGTGCTATGGGGGGGGGGGATATAAGCAGCACACTTTGCTTTTTGCTTTTTTCCTCAAGCATTTTGGTGGAAAGACAAGATAGAGGTTTCAGAAATACATGCAGACATAGTTGTACACAGAAGTGGAGAGGTTTACTAGGAAACAAAGGGAAATCTAAAGCTAGGTTCATCTGCTTTCCAATTAAGTAAACTTCCTAAGCAAGGGAGGAGTAAATGAATCTTACACTCTGAATTCTAAAACACAAACTTTATGACAAGAGCTACTGATGACAAAACCGACACAATATAAAATTAGTTTGTTGGTCTGAATATATACCGTATCTTCATATTTGAATTAAAAGCAATGTAGAGATTTTTCTCTTTCAATTCTGTTTCAGAATCAAGACTGAATAGATTTTCTGGTTTTCACCATGTCAACAAAAACTACTTTGCCCTGTGCTAAATACTGATGCAGCATTCTATTTGAGAGCCAATATGAAACCTCCTAGAGTCTTAATTTCAGACAGAAAGCAAGATAAATGCTTCAGTTGAGATCATAATCAGAGCAATGAGTTGTATAAAATAAGGACATGAATACTCAAAAGCCGTTTTGTAATACAGTACTTTCAATAACACACTCACCTGTCTTGACCTTGGTCGGCCGGGAGAAAACTTTCTTTTGGTGATAGCTGGCTTCCCCATTCCAATTTTTGGAGTGAGCGACACATAGGTTGTTGGAAGAGCTGCGGAGGATTCAAAGGATGATGCCTGACAACGCATCATATCAGGCAAAGAGCCCAATTCTACTGACGCGGCTGGTGAGGAAGACACACTTGTCTTGTTTATTTCAACCGACGATGGAAATGAAGAAAATGTCTCCGTTGGTGACTTTAAAGATTTGTCTCCCAATGGGGAGCTGTCAGTTGCACAACTTTCACTTGCGGGAAGAGATGAGGTTTCACAGCTTTCAGGAGTGCCACCTCCATCCACCCTTTCTGCCATCATCCTTGCTTCTAGAAGCTCTTCCTTTCTACAGGAGATTCTCTCTTTGCTAACTAAGCAGAAAGTGCCAGGAATCCTTTCTCTGTCCTCAGGTGTTGCTGGTAAAAGCTGTGTGTCCTCTGTGGACATTTCTGGCAACGCAGTGCCTCCCTTTGATGGTATTATTTCTTCAGTTTGCCCTTCTGAAACCTGCAGCATTATATCTGGAGTATTTTCTGCCACTTCCATTCTTTTATCAGTGTGATTACCATCAGGTGTATAAGTCTTTTGAGGAGATGTTTCCATTTCACCTTTAATACAATGATCAGAAACTATTGTTTCCAGTTCATCAATCTTACTGTTCAATGAGAGGCCTGAAAGAAAGGAGAACATTTCATTTTAGCTTCTTATTATACCACCACTAGATTAAAAAAAACACTAAACTTTTTAAGGAGCACAGAAGTCTCTCAGTTTTCCTCCTTGAAAATAAAAGAGTGCATCATCTACACTCACTATCCCAAGGTTGCAATTTTGAGACATTCTAATATGAGTCTACCATGTTGGGTAAATTATTTTTTTTGTCCCAAATCAACTTTAAAACAATTCTATTACTCCTGTTATGACAATGAGAAAGACTTCTCTTGAACTTACCTCACATAATGTATAACTTACGGAGAAAGACTACAAAGGAGGGGCCTGACTGAAGTTTATAAACTGAAAACTTTTGATACTTAGTCTTTTCTCACTGGAAAGATACTGCAAACTCTCCATCATGCTGGTTGCCCTGTTTTACTCATTTCTGAATCTTATTATGCCCTTTTTGAGGTGGGGCAACATTCCAATTTTTCTGACCATTAATTTATATAAAGAGGAATTGCTGTTTTATTTTCTGTCTCTTTCCTAATGTGGACAAAGTATTTTTCTCTGGAAATTTATTTACACCCCTCCCTCCTTTTTGCACTTCTTCAGTTTGGTTATGTTCAGACATCAGAGTAAACTACAGGGTTGCAAGACCTAAACAAGCCTAGCTTCTTCCAGGCTTATGCCCTTCTGCCACCTCCAGTGCAGTGGTAAAGGATAATTAAGAAACTGCACTGTACTATGCTTCAGTTTCTCATAAGATCCTAATTTTTATGACCTGTTTTTACTAATGGTATCCTTTAACCTGGCTTTTTCCATGTGACATTTCCACTAAGCATTTGTTCCACATACAGTATCTTGACACTTATTCTGCAGAATTAATATGACTTAATTCTCTATGTCCTATTGCTTTTCAATTGTCTTCTAAACTGGCATTCAGTTCTTTCTTCTACCTCGATCCCTCCCTAGCTTTGAGAAAGAATAATAAGGGATCTCATTCTAGTGTAGTAGACATTAAATCTTGAGAGGAAAGTTTCATGAATTCTACTGCCTAAGGATTTTGTACTTTTATGTTATGCATTTCTTCTTTCTATGGTGGAAAACTTTAAACACAGTTTACATATTGATATACAACATTGTTTCCATGAAATATGTCTGCCAAGGAAATATCTAATTTTCAAATAAAAACATTGATTGCTAGTTATATATATTATGCTAGTTATATATATTAAAACACATTGCTCAATGACTGACAAAGTCTACTTTTATGAAAAGATCAGAATTTTTATCTTAGAAAATATGTGCCATATACATAGGATATATTTGTTCACAAAATTCCTCTTACCATCTGTGGTGCTCCTGACCAATGATTCCCGTACAAGGCCACCTTCAGTTATGAGCTGTTCCTCATCTGCCACATCTTCTGCACCATCTCCTATTTCCATTTCATCTGTACAAACAAGCAACAGCAGAACGTATCAATTTCTGGAGTGTATCTTTCATTATTCTAGCCTTAGTGGTTGCTCTTGTAGCTTGACCTTTTATTTCCATGCAACCAAGCAAGGCAGACCACAATAATTCAAAATATGAATAGATGATACAAGCCTTTCCTAAGTTAATATAATAAATTAGATATTTATTTATGGTATTAACTTAGCAACAATATAATAAATCTTCTGTGAGGGTAAAGAATTATTCCAAACATATACATTGACTTTCATTCTCTTTATGCTATGCTCCATCAACAGCATGGACCAAACACACACTGGAGAAACAAAATCATAAAACTTATGTCTTAAGTCTTCATTAATTCCATATTCCAGGTTGTCCCCTGTCATAAAATATGGTGTTTCAGACATCACCATCCTACTTACTATAGTGAGAAAGCAATATTTATGTTCTTATAACTTTGGAGTTCAGTTCTACACTTACTGATATTCTTGAGATAACAGAGAAGGAAAAGATCCTTAAGACTCAAAACTGGTGCTGTTAAATGCTACTTCAATTTCTTAATTGTTTATAATGTCTACAGATGTGTATTGCAAATCCTGTTCTCATTATTATTGTACTACAAGATATCTAAAACTCCTTTACGGTTGTTAAAGTCTTTTCTGTGTCCCAGAAAAACAGGATATATTCCATCAGAGCTGTCACTCTGTACAAAACGTAGTAATCTAGGTTTTGGAATCATTGTGACCCAAATGCATTTGCCGATGTGGAAAAACATCCAACATCTACAACTTAGCCGGTGACCAGTTCCAATGATAACAATCAGTAAAAAAATCTTTAGATTAATGCTTTCAAATGTTCATGGAAAGATCCTTTCCAAAATGTGTTTGTTGTTGATTCAAGGACTCAATGTCAATGCTTCCAAAGAATCAACAAGATATTCAGGTCTGACTACCAATTTCAAACCACACAAGCAGCCCCTGTATGCTATCTGCAGAATAATATATTTGCTAAGACTCTCCCACAACTCTTCATGCTGCATAGAAATGTTATAGCTGATAAATCATCAGTGCCATTGAATGGAAATTTTCAGTTGAAGAAGACCATGCTATAGAAATACAGACAGTAAGGAATAAAATTCTTGCTGTGCTGTAGTTCATTATAGTCTCAGTAGCCAGGTTACCATTATTGTTATCAGTGCTTCAACTGCACAAGTAATTTGTTATGTTGTGGATCATTAACACATTGCAGGGTGGGCAAGTAGCATAAAACCTGAACAATTCCCACAAAACAACCATGAAAATGTCTTTTAAAAGGATTGTTTGAAATTAACTAGATGTTACTATTTCCTTCTAATAATTTAGGTGTTACTTTTTACACCTAAAAATACGTTAAATTACTTATAATCTAAAAATAACTATAATAGTAATCATGTGCTGTCATGTCAATTAAGACCTATAACAACCCTTTTCAGGGTTTTTCAGGTAGAGAATACTCAAAATTGGTTTACCATTCTCTTCCTCTGAGGGCATCCTGGGACTATGCAGCTTGCCAAGGCCACACAGGCTGGCTTTACCCATAGGAGGCATGGTGAGGAATCAAATTCCCAACCTATACCTAAACCACTAAGCTATACAGCCAGCTTCTCAAAGGAACTAGTTAAAGATAAGTACATTTTAAGCTGTAATTTTGAAGCTCTGCTTGAGACCTAGATCAGACAGAATTAAGAACTTTAAACACATTTACAGGATTCTGGTTTGAATGTTAAAGCTTCAGTACTAAAGATCAGATGCCAATTTTTGTGTTGCTACACAGGGAATTATGAAAAAACTGAAGTGAACTGAACACTGCAAAAAGAAGTACACACCCAGTTTCCCCCAGAGTACCCTGTCTACCAACCCATAAGTATCAGCAGAAACATACTGGTTTCCCAGAACATCTGACCCTTATAGATTAAGTTCTAAAGAATGGAAAGACAGCATTACTCTTTTATCCAGTGCCTAATAAGTCAACAATTTTAAATCAGGTTTACTAGCTTAAGATGATTTATTAGTACATTAAAACTAAAGGTGGTGTGGATAAGTGTGACCACATAGTCTTTCCACATGCATCTAAATACACAATCAAACAATCACTATATTGGACATCATTTATCTGAATCCCTGAACTGTCTGGAACAAGGGCAAATGTTAAAGTTGATCTGCAAAATCAAGATCAGATCCCAGCTTCTCAAATACATCTTTATTTTGTTAATAAGCTCCCTGCTTTGTATACTAACCAAAAACCTATTTAAAAAGAAAAACACTGATAGTTACTGCATTAGTAAAACTTAGCTCCTAATATGAAGACGCATAATAGATATTACTGTATAAAGGTCAAATGAATATTCCTTTTTATATGAAGAACCTAACAAAGTTCAAAATGCTAGGACTGCTGGAGCTGCTGCTGAATTCAGTGACTAATCTGTTCTTTTCAGAGACTCAGACATCATTAAAATGATATTTTAACTTCAATTTAAGGGAAATAAGCATTTATACTGTTCAGATCTACATCACTGTATAAAAGCAGACTCCTGAGTGTATGGAATGAAACAACTATATCCATATAATAGCTTCACATTTTTCTTTGTTGTTAAAATAATACTGTTACTCTTGCTGTGAGAGAACAGTATTTTCTATATATCTTTCCCCAGATCAAATCATGGGAAAATACAGATAATAAAACATTCTTATCCTTACCAGTATGCTCCCTCTTTAGGCTTGCTACTTTTAAGATGATTGGAATGGCCCCATAATTAACTTAGATGGTATCAGAAAGAATAGAGTGAGAAGTTTTTTGTGCTAAAAAATCTGTGGGTCCTTACTTGGAGTTTTTAATGTGGAGTCCCAACTATGTAGTTTATATATATAAACTCCTTTTCATTGTGCTTTTTCTAATGCATTGATGACAGAAACAATTTTCAATAGAGTTTTTGCCATATACCATACAAAAGAGAAACAGTCAGCGTCTAACAGATTATGAAGAAAAAGAAAGACTTTTACTTTTTCCAGGATCAGTAACAATTTGGACAGTCTCCATGACATCACATGATTGAGCATGTTCCTCTTCCACTGAATGTTTGCAAAGGCTGCAGATGTATTCTTTTAACTGAATATCCAGCTCATTATCAGAGGGTTTGTCACATTCAACGTGAATCCACCTACAGGAAATATTATGTCAAAATTTCACATTGATTCATTTATTAAAATGTCCCTGTAAAACCCAATCTTCATTCTAATGTCTGCAGAAATATAGATATACATTCTCAAAATCTGGCCCACCATAAATAAAAAAGCTTAAGAAAATGCTTGCCTCCTAGAGAAGTTAATAAAGCTGTGTAACTGAATATAATTCCTTAAATTCAAGCAGCCAGGTTGACAGTAATCCCTATATGGGGAATTCATCAGAAGATGGCAGGAACGTTGGTGCCTCATAACTAAAGAGCAGTTATAACTATACATTGTATCAGAGATCGTTATGAATCAAGGATGGATACAATGGTGGATCGCCACCAAAGAAAGGTAAAATTAACATCCTATCAGAAAGGTTTGAGACACATTAGTAACAAGTAACAGGTTTTCATTAATGTAGAATTAAAAGCTTCAGTTTCCTACCTTTTACACACATGACAGCGCAGCTTGTCTTTCTGCAAGTCCGGACAAGAGGATTTTTCACAGAATGGACAAGGTAGGCTGTCCTGCTGCTGAAAACAACTATCACACATAAGACAGTTATGATGCCACTGGCTACTCATCCGTGTGCCACATTCTGCGCATACCCTGCAGTTCTGAAATCCAAACGAAACACATGGTTTTATTTATCATATTACTCTATGGTATCAAAAATAGGTATTGGTCAACAAGTTCTTCACTAACAGAAAAGATAATATAGCTAAGAAGTTAAATATGCCCTCAATATATTAAAAATGCAGTTTTGAGAATTTTTTCACACTGAACTTCCACTTGACAGAGATGGTATTGTTGGGCATTCTCCTGAGTGGGTATTTCAGTGGATGTACCAGTTCCTTTTGCTATTTTCTCATCATTCTCCTGAGCCAGAAGAAACTGCAGCAGATATCAAGAGACCACTGAAAAAAGTACTACTGGTAGAGGAATTTTCTGTTGACATCTCTGCAAAAAATGAATTTCAGATAACACTCTTCCCACTCCACTGGGAACTTATGAACACATTGGCTGAAATGCTATTGCTTATCATAGTAAGAAAAAACCAAAATCTTACAACCAGTACAAGAACAGGCATGCAGTGGGAAGCTGATGAAAAAGGGGGAAAACTTAGATAATTTCACTTCTACCGCTTCTTTAAGCAACCAGATGCTAGATTAAATCCGAATCCAGCTCATGATTTTTAAAGCATTGCTGACACTTATTTGAAGTTAATTATTTATTTAATTGAGATAATACAGAACATTATGTTGGTTTGAATTAAAAAAACCTGAGAAACAAAAGGGTTTAACAGAAGAGATGTAAGTTTTCTTTAAATGATCCAGTGTTGTAACTAGTGCACCCGCAATAATGTCCATCAGTAGTGGAGGACACCGACGTACAAATCTTGTTTGCCACTGCATCTTAAAATGGAAATATGCTTGAACAAGGGATGTAAGAAAAAAGCAAGTTCATATTCCCCTCTACTAGTTGCTTCCTCTCTTATTGCACAGACCTCTTTACATCCAATCCTTTCTTTAGACAAGGGGATGGGAGCTGTATGCCTAAAGCAAACAAATGGCAAAGTATATTGTATGATAGTTAATACATTTCTGAACACAATTGTTTGAAGAGAACATGCTTGTAGTTGCATGACACCTTTGATGTACATTCATCACTTCAGTATCTAGTGGACTTGAGCCCCTTCGGTGTGGAAGGCATGATCACTCTCAAATTGGCCTCAGCCATGCTAGATGCTGTTCCAGGTCCTCTGTTCCAGTGCTCCCCAAATTTGGTCCTCTAGAGCAGTGGTCTCCAACCTTGGGCCTCCAGATGTTCTTGGACTATAACTCCCAGAAGCCTTCACCACCACCTCTGCTGGCCAGAATTTCTGGGAGTTGAAGTCCAAGAACATCTGGAGGCCCAAGGTTGGGAACCACTGCTCTAGAGGACCAAGGTTGGGGAGCACTGGAATAGAGGACCTGGAACAGCATCTAGCATGGCTGAGGCCAATTTGAGAGTGATCATGCCTTCCACACCGAAGGGGCTCAAGTCCACTAGATACTGAAGTGATGAATGTACATCAAAGGTGTCATGCAACTACAAGCATGTTCTCTTCAAACAATTGTGTTCAGAAATGTATTAACTATCATACAATATACTTTGCCATTTGTTTGCTTTAGGCATACAGCTCCCATTTCATTCATTTTTTAAAATAATAATTCACTTACTACATGCCATGAAACTCACAGAGACTCTATTTAACATTAAATGCATCTTGCTGGATTGCACACCAAGAATGGAAGGAATTGGGAAAGACAATAACGAATGCATCCTTAAATGATGTCATTTATAGCAGACCAACCTGAGAACTACAAATTCATATGTTTGTTTGTTTGATTTATACCCTGCCCATCTGGCCTATAAGACCACTCTAGGCGGCTTGATATGTTGATAAAAAATCAGCTTTTGATCTATCATTTCAAAAATTTTATCTTCTTGTATATTGTGATCAAACATAAAAGATAGTTGACAATCAGAAAGAAATCAATAGCAAATTCAATGCATTCTTATTCATGAGTTAAACCAAACTCAATAATGAAAGAATCTGAAGAACAGACTTATTCTGCCATCTCCTAATTTTAAAATATACGTAAACTCACTTTGCATTTCCATCCATTTGTTGGTACAGAGTCCATAACTGGTTGTAAACAGAAAGTGTGGTAGCCTTTGTCACATGTATCGCACACAAGCATCTTGTTATCTTCTCCAGAATGTCTAAGAAACAGGTTAGCAATTTAAGTCTTTCTGGATATCAAGGTAGCTGAACACAAGTAGCAACACATGAGCTCGAAAATTATTTGGAAAATTAAAACCTCAGCCTTTTAATCGAGTAACATACAAGCAATATTCATATCTTAGTAATTTTTGCTGTCAGAAAATTTCCAAATGTTAAGGAACAAATACACCCATTATATATTTTGCGTAGGTGCCTTAGTTATTCAGGCAGAATCATATTGCTGATTTATGCTTACACAAGAAAAACTATATACAGTATAAGTTTTGACAGCAAACTCCAACTCTTTAATGAGCCACATACCCAGAAATCCAACCAGCACCATGTTTCAAGATGAAAATAGGCAATAGGGTTCTGGCCTTACATTATAAGGCAGGGGGGAATATTATTTATTGTACTGTTTATATTATGCTTTTCTCCCACTATAAGAATCCACTAATATTAATTGGGCACGGGATATTCGTATCCATATCCATGGGGAAACGAATACAAATACTGGCATCACAGGTGCCTGGGAAAACCAGACCCTCCCTTCCCAAACCAGCAGGTCCACTTACTGGTCACTGTGTGGTGCATGCAGCCAGCGTAATTCTCATGACACCAATTTGGGAAGCAGCCTGGTCAGTGTTTCCCCACCTTCCCACACAGACAACCACTCTGGCAAGGAGGTGAGATGACAAGTCTCCCTGCTTAGCTATTGAGCGGATGGCTGTGTGGGAAGGTGAGGAAGTGCCAGCCGGGCGGCTTCCCAGACTGGCACTACGAGAATGACACCAGCTGTATGTGCACCATGTAGTGAGCAACAAGTGGGCCTGCAGGTTTTGGGGGTGTGTGTGTGTCCGGTTTTCCCAGGAACCTGTGGTGCTGATGTCAAATATTAATCCCATGTCTAAATATTAATTGTTCAGCATAAGAAAAAGGAAAAAAAGTCTTGTGGCAAATCTAAGACCAACAGATTTATTCTATGCTGAGCTTTAGATGTGACGCACAAACCCTCACACCAAAATAAATCTGTTACTCTTAAAGTTGTTCTCTGTTCTTTGTTTATTTTTTCATCTACTTACAAAATAAGACTGCAAAATATGCCATATATATTCAGGTTTTCCCAGGCAATACACTTCTCCCCTGATATGCACCAATCTCGGCAGCATAGTTTTAATTATACATTTTTATAAATAAATAAATATTTCCATAAATAAGTATTCAATACTGTGCTGCTAGCTTATCCAGGGCCCTGATGTTGCCAGTGTGGTGGCTCCTGGTTTGATGATGGCAGCCTGGACAGCCCCTTTTCCTATCATGGTGGCTCCATATAGTGGCCGAGGAGGGCGTTAGGGCATGCCAAGAGGCTGACATAGATTTGGGGAGACGTGTGTGTGTCATATGTTTATGCTTTGTGGTTACGTTTTGGGGGACATAAGAGTTATACATTGATTTTTAACTATGTGGGAGTCTGGTGCCTCTAAGGATAAGTGTACAGCACAAAGTGAAGATAGGAACAGTTAGCCCTTGTTTTTACACAAGGCCTCAAACCCTATTCTGCTAGGTGCACTGTAATGCAAAGACTCCATATATAAACAAACTGAACACCCAGTCCATTGGAGGGTTCCAGTACCCAGAAATACATTTTCCCAGTGGATTTCTTCTTCCCTCTTCACAAGTCACAAACAATGTCAGAAAATAAGCAGACTCTGACACACAGGAACCCACTGAGGCTGTGTCAATGCAGAAAGAAGAAACTAGATCCAAATACCCTTCAAGAGACTCTCGCTTATTTATGAATAAAGAACACAAAGGCCACTTCAATAGACCTCCCCTCTTCAAGCATGTGTACCCATCGGAAAAAGATTCACAGCTCTCTATCTCTAACCCTGCTGAATCCTTTAAATTGGAGCTATTCCCATTTTCGTTTCCTAAGGACCAAAACAAACCTAAAAGCATCTGTGTTTTTATTTATTAACTCCTTTTGTGCATATGTGCATTTTTAGTAAAGACCCTCACTTGTTTCTTTGATACTTAATTGTGATAGTTACATTTAGCACAAAATGAACTATACCTTATTTTTACTTACTTGCAGTTCTGGCACACCTTGCAATCAGGACACTGCCACCCTGCCCGTTTTATAGGTGTCACTTGTATATCCAGGCACATCCCATGATAATGCTGGCCACAGGTAGTACAAAAAAGCTGATCTAGGAGGTCACCAGGGCTGTCACACACTGCACAGTTTGCTTCGTCCTTTGCTATAAACAAACATATGGACTCTGCATCAAATTTATGCAGAAACAAAACTTCCTTTCTCAAACTATCCCTATCTCTACCAAAGGCAGGGAGGATACAGCCTTATATTCTATAAATACACTTCATCAGAATACTACTCAAGTCTTCTATGGTGACAATACAAGTCAACTAGTGTTTTAGAAAATGTATTAAAAGTACAATTATTTTCACATTAAAACATACAGTACTGTATAGAATGATTTTTCATATATCATGCTACTATTCATAGTTTATATATAATTTAAATGCAAGGCTGACTTCAGCAAATTAATTTCCATTACTTTTAAAGACAACTACATAGTAGCAATAAAAATCTACCACTATCTCAAGGACAGTGGATGAAAGCCGAGGCTTCCCCCATTTCTCAGCTACTTCAAGAGCTACAGGTTGGGAGAGCAGATAAGTGCCACAATTAAGTGATGACCCCAGTTACAGTCATTAATAGGAAAGACTGCAAACTGACAAGAAAAGGACTGAACTCTCTTCTGCACTTATTTTTTTAAAAAAATAATAGGCAAAATCTGATACTATTAACAGCAATAGAAATGTTATACTGTATTTCTCTTCAAGGACAGAAAAAAGAAACTGGTAACATCCAATAAATGCAATTATGAAAGACAGATAAAAAGTCTCAGGATGTATAAAAACTGTAGTTTATTGCTCTTTAAATTATTATTTTCACTATTATTTTGATTTCAAGCTGCCTAACACTTGTCAGAAAAAGAAAGAACAATGTCTACTTGAATCTATGTATACTTTTTTTCAAACAACAGATTCCCTCAAATTCTACTATGTGTCTCCCAGAGGGATGTGCCCCAGATGCTAAATATCACTTTTCTGAAGAGTGTGGCAATATTTATTGCACAAAATAAAAGGAGGAGAACATGAAAAATTTTCCCACTGTGCTCTTGTTGCAATAAAATTTGACACCACCCACAGCAGCTTTAAAGTCTTTTTTCTCCCTCATAGGTCATGCATCTCAGTTCTATTTTGGCCCTCATAGAAAACACTATTTTGTACAGGACTGATGGCTTTTTTCTTTCGTCACCATCAAGGACTGGCAAGATATTCCTTCTACATCATATTCATATAAATATAATTCAAGCAAAGATGGTGAATACGTCTCAGTCTTGGTTTCATTCCACGTCTCAGAGTCCCCTTTAATTATTCTTCTTGCTCTTATGTATCAGATCATGAGTCCCTGCATTGCATGGAAACTCAAATATATATACCTTTGCAACATTTTCTCGGTGTGAAAATTGACCCACCATTTAATCTAATTTACTTATTTCCACTACTGATTAAAGCAATTCTATGCCTATTTAAAATGTATATTTTGGCTATTAACACTTTTAAAGCATATTGTATATTCGTTTGTGTGCCCCCCTCAAATGCTCTGAAGGCTTCACAAGTAAGCAAATTGTCAAGATGACGTATATATTTTCTTCAAACATGTCTTCCGCTAGGTGCCAAAATGCTACCTCTCATAAACACTCCCCCAAGGGACAGGGTCTGCAGGCTAGGGGTGCTCACTGGGGACGGGGGGGAATGTGTAGCCTGCATAATTAACTTGTAAACCACTCAGAGTGCTTTAAGCACTATGGGCAGTATACAGTGGTGCCCCGCTTGACGACAATAATGTGTTCCAGGAAAATCGCTGTTAAACGAAATCATTGTCAAGTGGAAAAACCCCCCATGGAATGCATTGAAAACCGGTCAATGCGTTCCAATGAGGGAAATACCTGCTCGCGCAGCAAAGATTCTCCATAGGGCGGCCATTTTGGGATCCCTGTCTTGCAAACAATCGGTCCAGAAAACAGCGGGGAGCCATTTTGCGAACCGCCGATCAGCTGTTTCTAATCGTCGTTTTGCGGGGGGGAAAACGGTTCCCGAAACAGGGACCGAATCAATGTTAAGCGAAAAAAACCCATAGAAACATCATTTTGCAATTACTATAGCGATCGCAAAAAAGTCATTGCAAAGCGATTTCGTTGTCAAGTGGGGTCATCGTCAAGCGGGGCACCACTGTATAAGCAGGATGCTTTGCTTTGCTATGTCATAACAATCTAAAAGATGTTTTGGTGATTTTTTTAACTGATCAGTTTAAGCTGCTCAGATGCTACTGACAAGCAGAGATAAATCTGATTCTACAGGATATTAATTAGAAGGCAAAAAAGAAAATAAAAAACAGGACTAACACTGAAAAGAAGGGAGACAACCAAAAATATATAACAGTAAGTGCTTTTCCAGTACTGAACAAGATATGTTTAACTGTTAATTTAATACAATTTAATAAAATAAGACTGAATAAAATAAAGTTAACATTAATTAAAAATAGTTGGTCTACTTTGGACAAAAAGAGAAAGTCAGAGTAAGAAAGAAAAGAAGAGCAAGAGACAAATTATAGGGAAAACTACACACTGGGGCAGGAAGATAAAGAACAGTAAAATGCATGGACTGATTAGAAGTAGCCAAAAAAGTACGTATTTGATTACAACCCTGGACTGCATAACTCCCCCCCTCCCCAAATTATTTCACTACATGGTTCTCAGTTGCTACTTACATCTTTGCAGAGCCTGGTGAATGTGATCTGGGCAAAGAAGGGAAAGGCTGTTAAAATCTTGAAAAGTGCCTGCTCCAGCAGCACATGGATAATGGTACATCTGGGTGCATTTCTCTTCACAGCATTTGATAGTGGCTCCAAGGTGCTTGCAATATGCACATCGCTGAATCACAAAGAACAAACCTATTTAGTATTTTAAATCAATACTAGCAACAGGGAGTTTACATGGAATCTCTGTGTATTTTGTATATTCTGGCTTGTATTATATAAATATTAAACACATGTGGCACTGCTACTACAGAAGCTGATGTAGTGAAAAGTTCATGGTTGTGTCCCTGGTCACACATGACCAGCCCTACATCCAACCACCTGGGTTCAGCTTCCACACATAGAGCTCCACACACACATATGTACAGTATTTTGAATATGGGCTACATTCTTCCATACCTTTATGAAGAAATCCTGTTGCTTAGTATATTAAATCACAACTAGAGCAGGCCTGCTAAATCTGTGGATTTGGTGAGTCAACTGATCCATAAGTTCCGCAACAGGATTTCAACCATTTTCTCACAGTTTCCTGGTTAGCTGAATTAGGCAAAAAGATAGCATCTACTAAAATTCACAGCACACTAGATTGGATTTCTTGTTCCTAACTGAATATCCTAACCCAATTACAGCACAAATGAACATGTACTTTTTAATAATCCACTTGGTGGCTGGAATCCTGTTGCTTTGTTGGCAATTAACAAGGTGCTGATGGGATTCTTGAGGTGGTGCACTCCCACTGGCTTGGCATGCACTCAAGAATCCCAGCAGATTTGTTAACTGCCAGTTAGAAGACTCAAGGTTACCTAATTTACAGGATTTCAGCCAGCATGTCAGACTGTTATGCAATGTTTGCAATGGAGGGTTTTCAGTCTGATGATGCAGTAGTAAACTTTATACAACAGAATAGACTTTTTCAGCCCCTTTTAATTCCTGTCGTAGCTCTTCCTTCCTTACATGTTCAGAAAAATCTGTCAACCCGTCATGTTGGTTCACCCACAAGAAATAATTATTTCATCAACCAAGGCACTATAGCAACATACTAAACTGGTCTCACTTCATTAAGAAAACCTGTTCACATTGGCAATATATTGTTTTTCCCCCTTTATACTTCTCAGGCAGTTGGTCAATAAAATCTTTGTCCAAGGAAAATGGTTGGCACCTCCCTCTCTGACATTGTTATGGTGTTACACAGCAGAGTGATCTGCTCTCTTTTAATTTCTGAACAAATGCTTCTGTAAGTAAAACTTCTCAGACTACAACTCCCAGAATCCTCCAGCCAATACAACTAGCAGTTATCATGGCTAGGGGACTCTACTGCCATAGTTTATAAATGAACTATGTTAAGCTCCATTAGGAGCTCCATTCCCTAGTGTATTGTTGCGTGCAGCTATGAAAACAAAACAATGCCTAATGAGGTAGGGGATGCAGACAGGATTTATACTAAGGAGAAGTGGAAGGACAATATAGTGGGAAAATGTTAAGAAGGGGAATCCAGGGCAGCTAATTGGGCTGGCACTCATTTACGTTTCATCGCAAAGGAACACCTTTCAAAGTTTCAGAAAGGTAACTGTTATTCTCTTGGAGCAAAAATTAGAGACATGTTTTAATTTGTCAAAATTATGCCCTTTCTAGTATTTGTATACGAACAACATAACTGTAAACATTGTTTTTTTAATAATGTAAGCTGCCAAAAATTATGCCCTTTCTAGTATTTGTATACAAACAAGATAACTTTAAACATTGTTTTTTTAAATAATGTAAGCTGCCTTCAGTTCTTTTTAAGTAGAAAGGTGGGGTAAAATATTTTAAATAAATAAATAGATAAAAGTAAAGCTTTTGTAGACTTCTCCACTTTACTGTGTTCATCGAGTCATGCCTCAGTTATTATACTCAAAATGTGGTGAGAGAATGGAAATGCAAAAGGTACAAATATTATTTTTAACTTAACATCAGGAGCAAACATGTTAAGTGGTAACACAAATATGTTAGCCCAAGTGAGCTAACTAACACATCCACTGTGATGAAAAGTCAGATAGAACAAAGAAAGATGAACTAAAATATTTTCTATATATAATTATAATGAAAAATATCTGAAGGAGATCACTTCTTATTCTCCCTTTTCTTGATCTTCTCCACTTTCCCCTGCAAATCATATAATAAATGTGTCACCTGCAGGGTCTTTCTGACTCACCCTGATGGCTCTATAGGAGTTTTATGCCATCATAAGTTAGTGGCAAAATACTACAACCAGTTTCTTCGTGCGACAAAAATTCACTATTTAATTATATTGCATCAGCAACGTGGCCACTTTATATGTTTCCTCTCTTCCTATTTCTTTTAATAAGAACAGTTTCTATTAAAGAAACATTTAAAAAACACAATGATTGCAGTAATTTTCCATTTTAATACCTTTTCAAGATTTGTCTTGTACAGCTAACCAACAATTACATTAAAAAAACATTATAGTCATTTAAATTTAACTATGTTTTACAGCCCCATGGGGCAAGGAATTTAGCACACAGTCATTCCACTGTGTATTGTTTCCTTCCCAAGTTTATCAACTAAGTGGTCTTGTTATCAATTTTACACAATGGGATTATACAGATATTGTAGTTAGATTTTTAAAAATGAGAACAGTTGGGGAAACCTGAGAAGCAGTGAAAAATGATTTCCTATGTTGTGCAGATGAGCAATAAGTGGGGAGTGGCATTGACCTGAACCCTAACAATGCATATGGCAAAACTAGAACAGCAATTAAAAGCACTTGGCAACTTCACAAGAGAACATTCTAAATGATGTGGTACGTACAAACAGAAAAAATAATTTAATAAACCTACGGATATCCACATTTGCTAAACTCTTATAATAAGGCGATAAAGCAGTCAGAAGTGGTACGTCTCAATGGGTTACATGTTGACTAGAAGGTTTTTCCTGTCATCAAAAGCAGCTTCACTTCATGGCAAATGACTAGATGTCATGATTTAAGAACCTCAGGCCTTTCATTACTGTAATTCTGACTGACCTTTGACAAAATAAAGATCAAATACAGTAGTACACATATAACATGTTTTGGAAACGGTTATGTAAAAGGTACTGCTTAGAGCAGGGGTAGGCAATTAATTTCTATGGGGGGGCACATGAAAAATCTGAACTGTGTTCAGGGGCCAAACCAATTTTCTTAAAAATAAAATGAAACAGTGATGTTATGATTGTTTTTATTTTAAACTTGTTAATCTTCACAAATGCTAAAGAGGTTTTTTTGCGGTATGTTAAAGATAAGCAACTGATCAACTGTAGACAAAAAGCTATACAGTAAATGGTTTTGTGAAACTGTCCGCGGGCCAGACGGGTGGCTCACAGGCCATATGTGGCCCTTGGGCTGTACTTTGCCCACGTCTGGCTTAGAGGCACAGAATTAGAGGGACTTAAAAAAATTGTTAAAGTACTTTCAGGCTCACGGGCCATATGTGGCCCTTGGGCCATACAGTACTTTGCCCACGTCTGGCTTAGGGGCACAGATTTAGAGGGACTTTCAAAAAAATTGTTAAAATACTTTCGAAGAACTACTGTAAAGCAGCAGAAAATAGAAACTTTCAAAACAAAAGCTATCGAGATGTTGAAGACTGGCTAAATGTGATTCCTAAGCAAATTATAAGAACAGAAAAAATAGAAAACATTGCAAAGTTTGACCTTTTTTAAAATAGAAGAAATATACTAAATGCAATTGAATGGGCTAGAAAAATAAAGACTAGTAAGCTTATATTGTATTTAGAATAGAAAATGGGATGTATAGACTCTACAAACGCTTTGAATTTCAGCTCTCAGAAGCCCCTGTCACAGTGGCCAATGCTAAGCAATTGTGGGCCCATGACAGACAGGTAACATCAGTGCTGTATGTAACAACAAACATTTCCTTGTCCCATGCTAAATAAATCTCACTACAACTAAGTCTTCAATAACTATAAACATTTATGAAGATGATGCACAAAGAGTAAAGGATGACATACATCCTAAGATACATCCTAAGACCAGAAATACAAAGACCCAAGCATAGATAGTTTTACTTTTGCACGGTTCAACAAACATTTCCCATAATTCTTAAAGGAATAGTATATCACACAAGAATGCTCCCACATATGTCATTAGCTAAGACCTTGTTTCAGTTTTACTTGGAACCAAAAGATGAAAAGCTGTATTCTTTCATCTGAAACAGGACCAGGAGCAGATTGGAGTACTAATAATGAACCGTTAATATTCAACATTAAAGCTGAAAAAGACCACTAAAAGAATTATAACGCCAAAATATAAACAACAATCCTGGTGTTGTCCACATAAGAAACATATTTTCATTACTCAACTTATAGACGGTGAACCAGAAGAACTGTGGGTTATACCAGAAATATTATTAGGAAATAATGCAAAAAGGCAATTCTTAAAGGAAAAAAGAGAGAGAAACCTAGTGGATGACAGAAGAAATACTTACAATCAGAAAATTGTAAAGATCAGGCAAGAAGCCAAAGTATCAGGTAACAGAAATAGGGTCAGAAACTGCAGGTCTAGAAAGCAAAGTGAAAGCTGCTCTGAAACCAATTGGAAAAATAAATCACTGGGATAGAAGGAATGCCAATAGAACTATTCCAAGCCACAGAGAATATGTCAAAATTCTAACAAGAATACGACAACAAATTTGGAAAATAAAACAATGGTCCACAGACTATATTCAATTTACATTCCAATTCACAAGAAAGGAGATGCCAAGGAGTGCAGTAACTATAGGACCATTGATATAATGTCCCATGTGAGCAAAGTGATGCTCAAAGTGTTATAACAAAGGCTTCTACTTACATAGACTTAGAAGTACCTGATTTTCAAGCCAGATTTCGAGAACAGTCACTTGAGGCACACATATGCTGGCTATTGAAGTTCATCAAAGAATTTCAGAAGATCAGTCTCTGCTAAATAGACTACAGCAAAGACTTTGACTGTGTGGATCATGAGAAACTATGGGTTGTTTCGAAAGAAATATGTGTGCCTCAGCACTTTATTGTCCAGATCCACAACAAGAAACTATAATAAAAACAGAAGATGGAGATGGAATAGTTTCCTATACACAAA